AAAGTATTCTAAGCATTCGTTTCTTTAGGACTGAAACAAGTTTTGCCTCATTGAGAACCTCGTAGTTCATTATTAATTAAGTACTGGGTATTATTGTATGCTTTTGGTCCTTTAAACTGAAATTAAATGTTTTTCGCAGATTTTATATAATGTATATTCTGCAAACATCACTGTAATGTTGTATTATATACCTGATATTAAACATTTTCTTTCTAGAGCAAGAAAGATGAGCTCTATTTTCTGAAAAGGCCATAAGCTGATTAATACTCCATAAGATTTCTAATATAGCTAACCATCCTGAACGTTCGTGGAACTTCACGTATCTTGTCGTATCTTATCGTATCTTATCGTTTCTTATCGTATCTTCTGGTATCTTTTCGCAGCTTTTCGTATTCTGTCTCATAGATTCGCTCAGTACTACGTGGAAAATAACAAGCAGCATCGAATTCTATATAAAGCCTACGGAATTAAATTCGAAGTGCTCGTAAACGGTAGGGTAAGTGGCACAAGAAGATTGATTCATTTGGTTTAAAATGATTTTGTTTAACTATTGACGAGAAAAGAACTGATCGGCTACGGTGGTAACATTTTTTTCGTATCGCGATTGTAGAGTGGGAGTATGGATGCGACATGCTTTTTGAACAAAATTTAGCATGAAAAATAAAGCACTATTTTACTAAAAAAATGGCTTCAAAAACAAAAACATTTTGAGTCGTACTAAAGCATTTTGTCGGAGACTCTTTAGAGTATGAAGCATCAGAACATAGATCGGAAACTCTACGTTAGGAAATATAGATACCCAGTCAGTGGCGCAGTGGCTGGGGGGGCAGGGGGGGCAGCCGCCCCCCCTGGGAAAAATTTTGTCGGATTGTCGGAAAATCCAACATTTGTCGGAAAATTTGAAATATTAGACAAGATGTAAGGTTTTCATCGATCCTGTCCGAAAGGTCGCATATTTTTTCAAACCTGTCGTAAAATAGGGCATGCTCAACCCTTCTTACTTATTTTCATTAGAGTATTTATCGGAATCATCACACTGCTAAAATTTGCGAAATTAACGCTTTGGTCTCAGTTATTTTATAAACTCCCATTTCCGGCAGTTAACATTCAACTCAGTTCATTTCGAAATGAATTCGCTGGTGTTGTAGAAGACGCAAAAAGTTCATATTTTCGCCATAACTTAGAAGAGGAAAATTTTGTCGAGCGACGAATACGCAGAAAGAAAAAGATGCCAGGGGAAAATTGCATAGATGAATTAGAGGGAAATAGGGAATCCGTATATCATTTTGATAGTAGATACAGCTATCAGCTCAATGAATACAATATTCACGTCTCATAAGGCAATTTTGACAGATTTTGCCTTACTCAACCCTGAATGTTTTCAAAAAACAATTGAAAGGCAGTTGTGTGCAGTGTCATTCAAAAAGGTTGCGAAGAATTACGGCCTGGATGACGAAAAATTAAGAGATGAGTACAGCTCTTTCGTCAATAGTTACCGTAAATTTAGGAAAGCTAGAGAAAAAAACAACCCTCTGCCGGCTGCAGGAGAAAGATAAAACTTCCATTCAGTTCTTCAGTTGATGTTAAGTACAACCTGCAAAGTGCCTTTCCACAGCTGGTCCTTCTTTACAAGGTTTTCGCCACTTTGCCAATAGGTTCAACAAACTATGAAAGAGCTTTTTCAAAGCTGAGGATTGTAAAAAAATCGGCTACGGTCAACGATGGGACAAGACCACCTTTCCTCTCTGATAACAATCAACGTCGAAAGTGATATTTTACAGTCGATAGACTATGGTGACATCATCGATTTGTATGCTGCCACACCTCTTTTGAGAAAGATGCTGCTTGAGTAAGAGTTTATAAAAAAATTCAGTTAAAAGAAAACTATTCTTTTGGACGCGTTATATCTATTTAGGGTTTAGAATAAATAAATGCAAAGTAATTATGATGCGATTTAAAATTTGCCAAAGAAACTTTTTGCTATAAACAGCTATAAACACTAATTTGACTGACTGTTTATTGTCTAGTATAGCGAAAGGACTTGTAGGGTGTAAATTCATAACTAGTTGCAGTTTTGTTTATAGCGATTTATTTTTGGTAAGTTTTGTTAGAATAAAGGCTATTATTGAACTTGAAGGTGTATAACGAACGATCCATTCGTTAACGATTTCCAGATCCATTCGTGATATTGTACTATCAAGTCTTGCAGTATATGCAGCAAGGGTAATCTTCAGGGAATGTATTGAGAAAAATTTTGTCGGAAAAATCATAGTTTTATCGGAAAATTTTCAGCTTTGCCCCCCCAAAAAGTTAACTCCCACTGCGCCCCTGTACCCAGTTGTGGATCGAAATAGGCCATTCAGAAACGCCAGCACATGACTGTCGAGGTTGCCGAATCAGTGCTGCTTGCCAAGTTCGTTTTAACCTTGTGATGCCAATGGAGTCCCAAGGTGAAAACGAACTCCTTCTGTCTACACAATATAGCTTTTTCATGATTATTCAGATAGATTCCAAAACCGCTAAATAGAACGACGATCGGGCTATGCCAATAATCTGAACATGTTGACATAATAGGTTTTTGCAC